ATATAATATATATAATATATATTCAATAAATCTATAATACCTTGAATCAATATGTATGTTAATAATTTGTTAAATATTACTAATAAAAGTACATGCATCAATTTATTTCTAATGTGCATAGTTTAATTTAGAACTTATATTATAGTACTATCTGAATTAATATTATAATTTATTAATGTACTCAAAATATAATAATACTTAATTTATAAGTATAAATAGTAGGAATAGTACCTATATTGTTCACACAGAGCCTAATCTGCGGTTGATTAAACAGGAAACATAAAAATAAAGTATAAAATATAGTGAATTGTTTAAAAATTAATTAATTTAATGGTCTATTAAATTTTAATGAACTATTCATGTTTAAATTAACGTATAAATAAATCATGTTTAAGGGACCAATAGCTATTAATTTAAAATTTTCATCAATTGATTCATTAAATGTTTATTACTTCATTGTACTACATGTATACATTATATTAAACATTTTCTTAAGTTATAACTTATAACACAATTGTAATATTATCTATAGACTTATAGTAAATTAAGAATTAATTTACTATTATTTTTTCAAATTTTAATATTATAATGTAAACTTGTTTCAGAAAATCTGAATTTGGTTACATATACTGTGTACAAAATTTGGAAAAAAAAGATTAAAATCAATCCTGAAAACAAAGAAGTCTTAGGTTTATATGCTACAACATTAGACGCATATGGTCGTTATTTAATGAATCAAGGAGAAATTAACACAGCAATAATTTGTTTTAGAAAGGCATATAAAGCTAGTGTTAAGATAAATGGAGAAGTATTTAAAATTAATGTTATTTTATTGAATGATCTGGGAACAATACACTTTGTTCAAGGAATGTTCAATGAAGCATCACACTACTTTAGAAAGGCAGATCAAATCGGTCAACATTTTCTTGACATGGAAATTCTTTCGACGGTATGTATAGATCTCGGTAACATTTTCTTAAAACAAGGAATGTTAAAAGAAGCAGAACAAAATTGTGTGGAAGAATGCTAAAAGACAGTTATGATGAAGGCAAGAAAGAAGCAGAAATTTGTTTATCTGCCATAATAAATGCTACGAAGTGACTTATATTAAGTGAGTACATTTTTGTTTTATAGGCAAAATGTTTATTAGTATTTTATTTCATCAAACCGTTAATTCATTTCATTACAATAATTTTCATAAATTTGTATTATAGGTGTATGAACGTATGGAATTATTGTGTACAAGAAAAAATATGTTGTAAGTCAGTAATACTGTAAGCTTGGTTATTGAATTTCTGAATACGGTTTCTTTTGTTTACCTATTTTAAATTTAAATGTGTTTTCAGTAAAAAATAATTTTAATTAGCACAGTTCAATGAAATAATTATAATTTTTTAATGTATGTTTATATTTTATTATTATTATTAGTTTAATTCATTAGGATCGTTTTATACAATTTCATAAATATATTGTTTATACTGGCTGATTATTGCATTTCTGAATACAGTTTATTTTTTATTTATTTTAAGTTTAAGTGGGTTTTCTGTTATGTTAAGTAGGTAACAAAATTCCATAGAATCTTATTTTATACCATCATATTTTTTTATCAAGTAATATAGGTAATGATAAAGTATGGTTTTATTATTTATATGTAGTTCTACAACGTATGACAACGTATAAACAATAGTACAATATAACAGACATTTAGTTATAGCCAATATATAGATGGATTTATTTACTAATTAGTATTATTTCATTGATAATTCTTAGATAATACTATAGTTTAAAATATTAGTTTTAAATTATGTGTTGTATCTATAAACGTATTATAAGAGTAAGACAATTATGATTTCAGAAATTTAAAGTTTATTTTTTAAACATACATGCATATTGTTTACTTATATGGATATCACACTGTTCTTAAACTCGAATAACTTTAAAAATACAAAGGCATAATTAATATAATTCGAAAAAAACAACTATTATAAACCATTAAATTTAATTAGAAAACTATTGAAAAGAATTGATTATTTAAATAATACATTTGTAAAAAAAAAAAATTTAATTTAAATAATTTAAACAAAATAATCTCATAATTACAATGAAATTTACCTTTCATGTGTGTATAAATAATTAAGTAGTATGGTGGTTAATCACTCAAAATAAACTACTTAAATATATTTCAAATATTTATGATTTATTATAGAATACATTATAGCTTGAAAAAATATTAAATACATTTTGTTATTATATTTATAACCAATTAAAAATTAATTAATTCTTTCATACAATAAATAATTATTATATTACAATTGTTATTAATATGAGACAAACTATTGCGATTATCATTTTAGTTTTAAATAATATTAATTTGTATAGGTATTATGTCAATGTTATTTTATTAATAATTATTACTCTGCCATTATTTTTGATATGTTTTGCTTATTAATTATTAGTATGTTAGACGTTAGTAGGTAATTAGTATAATATTATGATACCTCATACCTAGTAGGATAACATGCAAGTATAAAATTGCCAACTAAATTATGCATTGGGTTTTGAACTCAATATAAATTTGTCGCTTTTAATTTATGATCTAGCACATACATATTTGGCTATTTATATTATATTATCCATTACCTATATTACCTACCTAAATATATAGAATTTTAAATTATTTTAAATTTTTATTCATATACCTAGTTGTTTTTAATAGGTTTTGATTTAAATTATCCTGAATGTTAATAAAAACAATTTTGATGTTTACGAAACCGTATGTTTTTGCTCTCGTTGTTTAATTAATGCTAAGTTACATACAAATTTGTTAATGTCATACAGACTATATAATATAGGTAGTTCTAATAAAGAATGTAATATTTAACTGCTTTTCAAAAATATATGACTTAGAATTCTAAAAACTACTATGAATATATAATATGTTTCTATAATCCTATTTATTCAAAATGTTTAACTCATGCTAATAGCAATATTTGTCATGGTATAAATAAATTGTATGAATAATTACTAAATGTTATTTCAGTAAAACATATTATAATGACAATTCATAACTAGGTAAATCTATAACTTAATGTTCTGTAAAAAGTTAGAAACAAAATAGAAAACTATCTTCATCAATGAATTTATTATAAACATTTATTTACTGTAAAAGTCGAATGTACTGCATACATTTTAATACATTAATATCAACTAACATCATTGCTCTCTAATATTACAATTTTATTTTAATATAAGACTAATGGTCGTTACACAAAAAGAATATATCTATTTAGGTCACAGAGTTTTAACTCCCTAATGCACAAACTAGATTCTCTTTCCCATCGAACAAGATACTGTTGAAGAAAATCGAAACGGTGTTATTGCCTCAAACGGTGATGACAGACACAAAAAAAAAAAGTTAAAAAAAAACACATCATTGTAATATCAATACATTCATTGCTCTGCTCAGAATTTAAAGGCAAATACAATGCAGAACTTGTGAACAATTAATGAAGGGTACCCCTATTTACTATAATGTAAGAATCTTAAGTTTGGTTTTATATGTGTTTAATGAAGTATGCGTGAGTCATATTAATACATTTATATATTAATGTAACTTGTAGAAAATGAATTTCAAGAATAACGAATAATAAACTTTAAATGTTGTTTCCCTATGGACAGATACCTAGACAAGCTACTTATTATAAGAATAAACATACTGTAGTGCAATTTCATCATTTTTTTTTACCTATGAATTATAATTTCTAAGATTCAATGGTTATTTGCATAAAAAATTGATTTATATAATGGTTCACTTAAAATTAATGGACCGACAGCTATCAAGTGAAAATATGCAACAATCGATCCATTAAATGTTCAGTGTTTGTTTTTACCACCAGCATAACTTACTAATACCACAATCTTCAGTAAATTACTTTTAAAAAGTAATGAGATCACGTAACTTGTTACATTAAACATTTTTAATTAAATTACTTACTTTATCACGTTACGTTATTTTTTAAAAATTAGGGCATTACAATTAATAATGGTACTATTGCAGTTCACATTTTTACAATATTGGATAATAATATTTACTTGATTTTTCATGTAGCGATTTTCTTATTTTTAATATTTGAGTTGCTATTCAACTATTGTTTGAAAGTGGTCTTAAGTTTCAAGGTTAAAACAAAAATATTTTGTTTCGATCAAATTATTTTTTTTTTTTTCATATCTATGATGATCTTGAAGTTTGTTTTGTGGAAATTCATAGGACTATAAGGATAAGATAAATGAATATCATAATATGCCAAAAATTTGATTTGTTATAATTATTATAAAAATATTTATTATTTTGATTTCATTATAAGCGAATAGTTTATTAATAGTTTATTTTATGTAACATTTCAAGTTAATAAATGATCATGAATTGTATTGTTATAATGCTTGGTAAAAATAAAGTTACAAGTTCAACAGTCGATTTTGACATAATGTATTTTATGTTCAAATTTATTGATAATATTTAGATTTCTAATCGATAAATATTTAACAGTAGGAAATTAAAATGTATTACTTTTATATAATTATAAACATTAATGAGTTCAAATTGTATTTATGAATATCCTTATCAAACAAAATTATTTAAATAGTAGGTACAGTACATAGTACTAACATTTCCAATTCGTTCAACATTTAATAGACTCATCGAGGAGAGACTACTTCTTCAAGCAAGTACATAATTTATTAAATATTCATACAAATTAAAACATAGCATTAATGGATTAAAAAAAGAGACATAAAAATATGCAGTACTTACACAATAGTAATATTCAAGCTTAAAATTGTTACTTTTTTTTTGTTTTTTAAGACTTGTAACAAATTTTTTTACAACCATTTGAGCATAAACATTTCTATAACTGTTATTCTTGTTTTTGAGTTCCTGGATTATTTCGTTCAGTAAGTTTCCTAATCAATTCAAGAGTTTCTCGATTAAATGAAGGTTCTTCTCAAGAATCTTTGTCTAGATCAGAAAAGACAAAGGAATTAGTGGAACTTTCTTCTCTTTTCAAATGAGGAATAATGTCAACATTGGCTGGTCCATAATTAATGGCATTTTTTAGCTCTTGACTAATTAAATAATTTATATTTTCTATATCAACTATATCTATTAACATATTGTCACTATCTTCAAATTTCATCCGTTTATTATTTCGTTCAGTAAGTTCCTTAATCAATTCAAAGTTTTCTCGATTAAATGAAGGTTCTTCTCGAGAATCTTTGTCTAGATCAGAAAAGACAAAGGAAGGAGTGGAACTTTCTTCTCTTTTCAAATGAGGAATAATGTCAACATTGGCTGCTGGTTCTTCAGTAATGGTATTTTTTGGCTCTCTAATTACATCATTTATTGGTTCTTTGTCAACATTATCTATTAACATTTTGTCACCATCTTCAAATTTCATCCGTTTATTATTTCGTTCAGTAAGTTCCTTAATCAATTCAAGATTTTCTCGATTAAATGAAGGTACTTTTCGAGAATCTTTGTCTAGATCAGAAAAGACAAAGGAAGGAGTGGAACTTTCTTCTCTTTTCAAATGAGGAATAATGTCAACATTGGCTGCTGGTTCTTCAGTAATGGTATTTTTTGGCTCTCTAATTACATCATTTATTGGTTCTTCGTCAACATTATCTATTAACATTTTGTCACTATCTTCAGATTTCATCCGTTTACTATGTCGTTCAGTAAGTTCCTTAATCAATTCAAGAGTTTTTTGATTAAATGAAGATTCTTCTTGAAAATGTTTGTCTGGATCAGAAAAGACAAAGGAAGGAGTGGAACTTTCTTCTATTTTCAAATGAGGAAAAATGTCAACATTGGCTGGTCCATGATTAATGGCATTTTTTAGCTCTAGACTAATTAAATAATTTTTTTTTTCTATATCAACTATATCTATTAACAAATTGTTACTATCTTTAAATTTTATCCCTGGATTATTTGGTTCAGAAAGTTTAATACTCAAGTTAAGAGTTTCTCGACCACATAAAGGATCTTCTCGAGAATCTTTGTCTAGATCAGAAAAGAGAAAGGAAGAAGTGAAAGTTTCTTCTGCTTTCAAACGAGGAATAATGTTAATATTTGCTGGCTCTTCAGTTATGGTATTTTTTGGCTCTCTAATTACATCATTTATTGGTTCTTCGTCAACATTATCTATTGACATATCGTCAAAAACTGCTGGCATAAAATATGTATCCTCAGTAAATGTATCTCGATTTATAGGCCAAATCCCTGTCATAGAGAATCCGTTAATAACATTTTGAGGTGTAGCAGCACTAACGAATGCACTTGTACTAGATGACACTAAAGGCACATCATATGTTCTTAATTTTATTCCTGGATTATTTTCAATCCAGGCGGATATATTTTGGTTCAAACATTTATTGAATGGTCTATACACGGATCTGTTCAACGGCTGGAGGTTATGAAAACCGTGAGGTGGGAATGATAATAATAAAATGCCTGATTTCTTGCAAAAATCAATCACTGGTAAACATAAGTTAGATTCATGATTGTCAAGCAGAATAAGAACTTTTTTATCAACTGAAGGTCTGACATATTTCCTAAATTTCTTCAAAATCTTCAAGAACTCAACGCCTTGCATAAAGTTTAAATTATTGGCAGCCTTAGAATATATATGCATGGGAGGAATAAGGTTGCCCGCTCCATTTATAGCTAAGTACATGGTAACTGTACTATTTTTGCCACTTGTGATCGCCTTATTATGTTTATTGCCTCGAAATGCCACTATTTTTCCTGTCTTTTGGACAAATGTAACCCCTATTTCATCCATGTTGTAAATATCATGTGCTTGAATTTTATATTTCAATAAAATTGACTCATATTTATCCATAAAATGTTTTAGATTTTCTGGGTTGAAATTAATAGCCCTTGATATACCAGTCGCTTTTGGGAGACAAATGAACAGTGACGGGTTTCTTTTTAAAAAGTCTGTAATCCAATCAGGACCGGCTACCTTATTTTGTTTCCAACTGTATGGTACTGTTAAATCAAGTTTAACTGAAAACTCATAAGCTAGTTTACCAATATTTTTAGAATTAAAACCAAAATACATATCTGCGGAAATTTGTACGTAATCTGCAAGTTGTTTTTCTTGAAAGTCGTCAAATATTTTATTGTGTTGTCCGTAACCAAATGCTGGTAGACAACTACTTGTTCCCTTATGGCGTTTAAATTTTTCTATGTACCTGTTTAAACAACTCACGTGACAAATATTGAATGCTGTAGCTGCAGATTGTTCCGACATAAGATTATCCAAACATAGTAGTGCTCCTTTTTGCATAGTGCTCTCTGATGTGGTACATCTATTTTTGGTTTTTACACGATTACGAGGCATCTTTTCAACTATAGTAAGAGAACAAATTAATAAATGTAAATTAGTAAATCAACAAATTGTAATATTACACAATATTTAATGGGTATGATCTACAACAATATTGATCCCATACATTTTTATTCTAAAAATCATAAACTTACTTGATAAATTATTTTTGTTGATGAATAATATACTAATGAAATAAGCTAATATATAATATAAGCAATTGACAAATTGTACAAAAAAATATTGAGAATAATCTTCATCCGTCAGGCTACAACAGTCAAATATCAATTTATATTGTTACATTGTACTTGTCTATGGTATTTCATAATACATTATAAACGAAGCTAATGACAGACGATGACAAGCACGATTTAAGATGGCCAAAGGTGTTGCCAACATTGCCCATTAGAAAATTTCGATTGTCATTGACTGTTATCAGATTCGATTATTATATATTAAATTGTATATTTAGTAAATTGTATAATTGTATAAGTTTTATATTTAATTCATATTTCATAGCAAAATGTGACAATACTGACAATACCATGCATAAATAACTTTGAATAAATTAAAACGGTCGTTGTCCGTGGTCAATGGACTGTTTCGTTTTTTATAATATCATACCAAATATTGATACACGTTACCAACATCTTATCAGATTACGGATCAAATAGAATTTTTTTAATAAAATACTTCATAGTTCATACCCCAGAGATACACACACCTGAGACCTGACCAGCTGATTTCGCCAGATCGAGTAACTATTCCGTATTGTTCTATGGTACAATATAACAATATAAATTGATATTTGACTGTTGTAGCCTGACGGATGAAGATTATTCTCAATATTTTTTTGTACAATTTGTCAATTGCTTATATTATATATTAGCTTATTTCATTAGTATATTATTCATCAACAAAAATAATTTATCAAGTAAGTTTATGATTTTTAGAATAAAAATGTATGGGATCAATATCGTTGTAGATCATACCCATTAAATATTGTGTAATATTACAATTTGTTGATTTACTAATTTACATTTATTAATTTGTTCTCTTACTATAGTTGAAAAGATGCCTCGTAATCGTGTAAAAACCAAAAATAGATGTACCACATCAGAGAGCACTATGCAAAAAGGAGCACTACTATGTTTGGATAATCTTATGTCGGAACAATCTGCAGCTACAGCATTCAATATTTGTCACGTGAGTTGTTTAAACAGGTACATAGAAAAATTTAAACGCCATAAGGGAACAAGTAGTTGTCTACCAGCATTTGGTTACGGACAACACAATAAAATATTTGACGACTTTCAAGAAAAACAACTTGCAGATTACGTACAAATTTCCGCAGATATGTATTTTGGTTTTAATTCTAAAAATATTGGTAAACTAGCTTATGAGTTTTCAGTTAAACTTGATTTAACAGTACCATACAGTTGGAAACAAAATAAGGTAGCCGGTCCTGATTGGATTACAGACTTTTTAAAAAGAAACCCGTCACTGTTCATTTGTCTCCCAAAAGCGACTGGTATATCAAGGGCTATTAATTTCAACCCAGAAAATCTAAAACATTTTATGGATAAATATGAGTCAATTTTATTGAAATATAAAATTCAAGCACATGATATTTACAACATGGATGAAATAGGGGTTACATTTGTCCAAAAGACAGGAAAAATAGTGGCATTTCGAGGCAATAAACATAATAAGGCGATCACAAGTGGCAAAAATAGTACAGTTACCATGTACTTAGCTATAAATGGAGCGGGCAACCTTATTCCTCCCATGCATATATATTCTAAGGCTGCCAATAATTTAAACTTTATGCAAGGCGTTGAGTTCTTGAAGATTTTGAAGAAATTTAGGAAATATGTCAGACCTTCAGTTGATAAAAAAGTTCTTATTCTGCTTGACAATCATGAATCTAACTTATGTTTACCAGTGATTGATTTTTGCAAGAAATCAGGCATTTTATTATTATCATTCCCACCTCACGGTTTTCATAACCTCCAGCCGTTGAACAGATCCGTGTATAGACCATTCAATAAATGTTTGAACCAAAATATATCCGCCTGGATTGAAAATAATCCAGGAATAAAATTAAGAACATATGATGTGCCTTTAGTGTCATCTAGTACAAGTGCATTCGTTAGTGCTGCTACACCTCAAAATGTTATTAACGGATTCTCTATGACAGGGATTTGGCCTATAAATCGAGATACATTTACTGAGGATACATATTTTATGCCAGCAGTTTTTGACGATATGTCAATAGATAATGTTGACGAAGAACCAATAAATGATGTAATTAGAGAGCCAAAAAATACCATAACTGAAGAGCCAGCAAATATTAACATTATTCCTCGTTTGAAAGCAGAAGAAACTTTCACTTCTTCCTTTCTCTTTTCTGATCTAGACAAAGATTCTCGAGAAGATCCTTTATGTGGTCGAGAAACTCTTAACTTGAGTATTAAACTTTCTGAACCAAATAATCCAGGGATAAAATTTAAAGATAGTAACAATTTGTTAATAGATATAGTTGATATAGAAAAAAAAAATTATTTAATTAGTCTAGAGCTAAAAAATGCCATTAATCATGGACCAGCCAATGTTGACATTTTTCCTCATTTGAAAATAGAAGAAAGTTCCACTCCTTCCTTTGTCTTTTCTGATCCAGACAAACATTTTCAAGAAGAATCTTCATTTAATCAAAAAACTCTTGAATTGATTAAGGAACTTACTGAACGACATAGTAAACGGATGAAATCTGAAGATAGTGACAAAATGTTAATAGATAATGTTGACGAAGAACCAATAAATGATGTAATTAGAGAGCCAAAAAATACCATTACTGAAGAACCAGCAGCCAATGTTGACATTATTCCTCATTTGAAAAGAGAAGAAAGTTCCACTCCTTCCTTTGTCTTTTCTGTTCTAGACAAAGATTCTCGAAAAGTACCTTCATTTAATCGAGAAAATCTTGAATTGATTAAGGAACTTACTGAACGAAATAATAAACGGATGAAATTTGAAGATGGTGACAAAATGTTAATAGATAATGTTGACAAAGAACCAATAAATGATGTAATTAGAGAGCCAAAAAATACCATTACTGAAGAACCAGCAGCCAATGTTGACATTATTCCTCATTTGAAAAGAGAAGAAAGTTCCACTCCTTCCTTTGTCTTTTCTGATCTAGACAAAGATTCTCGAGAAGAACCTTCATTTAATCGAGAAAACTTTGAATTGATTAAGGAACTTACTGAACGAAATAATAAACGGATGAAATTTGAAGATAGTGACAATATGTTAATAGATATAGTTGATATAGAAAATATAAATTATTTAATTAGTCAAGAGCTAAAAAATGCCATTAATTATGGACCAGCCAATGTTGACATTATTCCTCATTTGAAAAGAGAAGAAAGTTCCACTAATTCCTTTGTCTTTTCTGATCTAGACAAAGATTCTTGAGAAGAACCTTCATTTAATCGAGAAACTCTTGAATTGATTAGGAAACTTACTGAACGAAATAATCCAGGAACTCAAAAACAAGAATAACAGTTATAGAAATGTTTATGCTCAAATGGTTGTAAAAAAATTTGTTACAAGTCTTAAAAAACAAAAAAAAAGTAACAATTTTAAGCTTGAATATTACTATTGTGTAAGTACTGCATATTTTTATGTCTCTTTTTTTAATCCATTAATGCTATGTTTTAATTTGTATGAATATTTAATAAATTATGTACTTGCTTGAAGAAGTAGTCTCTCCTCGATGAGTCTATTAAATGTTGAACGAATTGGAAATGTTAGTACTATGTACTGTACCTACTATTTAAATAATTTTGTTTGATAAGGATATTCATAAATACAATTTGAACTCATTAATGTTTATAATTATATAAAAGTAATACATTTTAATTTCCTACTGTTAAATATTTATCGATTAGAAATCTAAATATTATCAATAAATTTGAACATAAAATACATTATGTCAAAATCGACTGTTGAACTTGTAACTTTATTTTTACCAAGCATTATAACAATACAATTCATGATCATTTATTAACTTGAAATGTTACATAAAATAAACTATTAATAAACTATTCGCTTATAATGAAATCAAAATAATAAATATTTTTATAATAATTATAACAAATCAAATTTTTGGCATATTATGATATTCATTTATCTTATCCTTATAGTCCTATGAATTTCCACAAAACAAACTTCAAGATCATCATAGATATGAAAAAAAAAAAAATAATTTGATCGAAACAAAATATTTTTGTTTTAACCTTGAAACTTAAGACCACTTTCAAACAATAGTTGAATAGCAACTCAAATATTAAAAATAAGAAAATCGCTACATGAAAAATCAAGTAAATATTATTATCCAATATTGTAAAAATGTGAACTGCAATAGTACCATTATTAATTGTAATGCCCTAATTTTTAAAAAATAACGTAACGTGATAAAGTAAGTAATTTAATTAAAAATGTTTAATGTAACAAGTTACGTGATCTCATTACTTTTTAAAAGTAATTTACTGAAGATTGTGGTATTAGTAAGTTATGCTGGTGGTAAAAACAAACACTGAACATTTAATGGATCGATTGTTGCATATTTTCACTTGATAGCTGTCGGTCCATTAATTTTAAGTGAACCATTATATAAATCAATTTTTTATGCAAATAACCATTGAATCTTAGAAATTATAATTCATAGGTAAAAAAAAATGATGAAATTGCACTACAGTATGTTTATTCTTATAATAAGTAGCTTGTCTAGGTATCTGTCCATAGGGAAACAACATTTAAAGTTTATTATTCGTTATTCTTGAAATTCATTTTCTACAAGTTACATTAATATATAAATGTATTAATATGACTCACGCATACTTCATTAAACACATATAAAACCAAACTTAAGATTCTTACATTATAGTAAATAGGGGTACCCTTCATTAATTGTTCACAAGTTCTGCATTGTATTTGCCTTTAAATTCTGA